CCCCCCCCCCCCCGACCCCACGGCCAAGCATATGGCACTTGGAGGCTTGCTGGTCTCATGGTAAGTGGACTCACCTCTGGATTGTCTGGGTTTGAACCCTGGCTGGGAACAGTGTGTTGTGTTCTTGAGCAAGTCACTTTACTCTCACAGTGCCTCTCTCTCCACCCAGTTTTATAAATGGGTACTGGCAAATTTAATGTCGAGGGATTACCCTAACCCCTGTCCAGGGGGATAGAAATACTCCCAGTTGGACCACTTGTTTTGTAAGCAGACATTACCTTACCAATGGCGCTTGAGACAGCCCATGACAGCTTCTAGCATGTTTCAACTCATTAGCAATGGTATCAAACAAATAATAGTGAACAAGCTTGAGTCATTTTCTTGACTTTACATGAAACAACTACAACAACAACAACAATTTTTTAATGAATTAGGAGATGTCTTTTAGGTGGCTGTAGAGGCCACAAAAACTTCAATGCTCTCTGCCAATATGAATACTCAAATGGAGATTAAGGAGTTACTGAAAAAGGAGCCAGAAAAGCTAGCAACAAGTTTCAAAGGATTGAAAAATTCTGTTATTTAAAGGTCTGTCTGACAAGTATGATAACTCACTAAAGCAATTCAAGTCAACCAATGAAAAGCTCACTATGCACTCTACAACACATAACAGCATTAGAGAGTGTATTTTTTTTTAACGATTAATCATTATTTACTGTCAGACCAATACCTGAACTACATAAAGTTAACTGTAAACTTTAAATTCTTCCTGCATCTCTCCTGTCCTAGAATGATTAAGACATAACAAGGGTGGAGGCTAACACAAAATCATAACTGTTCATTTAGCCTCCAGTCTCATTAAAAATATTTCACCATAGCAACAGTATAAGATGATGAGAGCACCCTTACCCTGTAATTTTAGCTTTGAGGGCTTATAACTCAAAAATGAGTCTGATGGAACCCAATTTGTTATCATTGAATATTGTAATTAATCAGCATGCATGCCGATGACATTGGTGTCATTTCATTGTTGCAGCGTCAACTTATGAAAAGAAATACAAATGTGGTATTGATCCTTCAGAGAAGACGTTTGAAACTGTTGAGTTGCCTAAAGTTTAAAGGAGTCCCTTTGTCTTTGTGTTCATTTTTTTCAACTTAAATATCTTTTTTATTGCACATCACATAATAATAATTTGACAGGCTCAGAAATATAGCTCGTACTTTTAAAATTTCACACCTGTCCAGTTTCTTCATATGGAATGCAATAAAGGCTGTACATTTCTTGTACACATCATGAAGAGAAACTTATAATTGATTGTTCTAGATAAAAGGTCTTTTTTAATACAATACAACTAGAAGGACGAGGGCTTATAACTAAAAAATGAGTCCGATGGAACCCAATTTGTTATTATTGAATATTGTAATTAATCAGCAAACATGTAGAAAAACATGTTTGAAACCTGCGTGCTAATGTATTATCATGGCTAGAGTTGATGCAGTTATAGTCAAAATAGTTGACAGCGTAATACTGACTTCTTGGCTAGTCCTCTGTTGTACCTTTGTTAATTAGTGAAGATCCTGTGCTGGGTGGGAATAGGAAAACTATAAAAGAAAGAACAAGTATTGTATATACACAACTTTGCCACTGGTGTTATGGGGGTGGGTCTATTATAGGGTGTCTAACATCCTTCAAACCACCATATTTTGTTCCTACGAGACTGCAAACCACTCTCATTTTCTCCTAAAAACTGAAATGCACGACAATTATCATCACACCCCATCTTCTGTAACAAAACATAAGAAATTCTTGACATCAGTAGCTGTATTTCTGCGGCAAAGACCACCGTTGTTGCTAACTCCATTGAGTAACCAGGGAACAGAAAGTTTTGACATCTAATGACAGTCTTCTTACTCTCCTAGCTCAATATGAATTACTGCTACAAAAACACGCAAAAACTGAAAACCTGAGCTAAGTTTATGACTTCCCAGAACCGCGTAATAATTTCTTAACCGTAAACTGTGAGATAAATGTTTAAGTACTCACATACCGGCTCTCAAAATTGCCATAAAGCACCAAACTGCCAGAGTATAATTGACCTTCTTATGGCGTTAATGCTGGAAACAGAGTGCAGGAACCCTGATTTCCAAGTTTGCCCTGTGGAAACTATGATGTAATAGCCTATAATTCATTCTCAGTATCCTCCAAAAGATTCTTACTAGCTTATGAATTATGATAAAGATTGTTCAATGATTTCATCTTGTGCCACAGCAATTCTGTAATTTGAATTTCCCCAAAAAAATTTTTTTAAAAAAACTTCACAAGCTCATTGGGCAAGCAAAGGATAGAGTTGACTCTCCTGATTGGCGGGAGGTGGGAGGGGAAGGCCGCTCAGGGTGGCCAGAACTCCGGAGGGGGGAGGGTACTCCCTTATATGGTCATAAATACAAGTAGGATATCAATTTGGCCATTTTGGTCTTAGATAGGGTATGTTTTTTGTACTCTAGTCTTGAATTGGGTACGCTTTTTAGAAGAAGCTACTTTTTCATCATTACTGATAACACCATAAACAAAAGCTCTTCAAAAATTATGTGTAGGGCAACTGTGTCAGCTGCAACAGCCTTAAATAGGGTATCGAATTTCTGGTCTGGTCAGAAATAGGGTAGGGAAAATGGCAGATTTTGGTCATAAATAGGGTAAGGGTTTTAAGAAGTAGGCCGCACACCCCTTCAAATTTTTTCGGAAGTATTCCTTCTCCCACCTCCCCCACCCCGGGCCAGAACTTCACTCTATCTTCACCTGCAACTCCTTCTTCTCGCCTCCACTGTTATACAAATACAGCTTGTTTTTCCTCTCTTTTTTGGTTCCTTATCTGCCCCTAGACTTCCAACCTCCTCTTTCCTGACTTAGTTCTGCATTAATTGTAATATTTATTTTTCAAATTTTAAGAAATAATGCATATTTGTTATTTGCCGGCTGGGAGGTCTGTATAGTGAACAATTGTAAATGTTGCTCGCAGCCACAGACTGAGGGTAGTATTTTCAAGTTCGAGGTCACAGTTTTTCACTACACTGGGAGACCCTAAGCCCAGTAAATAACGTACTTATTTTTCTCTCTCTCTTTCAAATCACCTTTATAATAATTATTTTTGACCTTTTCTACACATATCGAGCATGTTACTGTGACTGTGGTCAATGATAGGAAAAACTGGACTGTACCAGGAACCAGTCAGATTGTAGGAATCGTTACCGTGCCCTCTTACACATTACATTACAAAATTAATATTAATCTACACGGTATTGCACCTCATTACAGATGCAAAGAGGGTTTGGGCACATGGGTGTAGCAAACACTTTCTGGATGGTTTGTCCTCAAGCAAGTCCACTGTGATAAATTGTAATAATTGCATTTTTCTAGTTTTAGGAAAAGATGACAGTCCTTATTATACATACTTGGGTGCTGCGCCAAACTTGCATTCCCTTAGAAATCTCTTAGAAGACAGGTGAGACAAATATGGATCGTGTTTTCCAGAAAATTTGCATGCATCCCTCACAAAAGGGATTTTTTTTTGAGAAACCCCCTCCCCACCTCTCTGGAAATTCCAATTAAACTTCATACATTTCTTTAAATTTTTTGATCTTAGAGAACAACCCCCCCCCCCTCCCCGCAAGAAATTTCAATCCCTTCTGTGGGGGTAGTGTGGATATTTTCTGAAACTGCACATTGAAATTCTCACTAACTTTGTATCCTGACCTCACTGTTTCTGATACTCAAAAGTGAGATGTGGGAAAAACTTGGCAAGTCTTCCCTTCCAGTTAATTTGGCCGTGGAAGATCTGGGTTGGAAACGAAATTCTCACTTTTCGTAGTTCTGACGATATGGTTATTTAAGTCAATGATAGAACTGTGCAAAGTGTGAATTTCATCTCAAACACAGATCTTCCATGGCCAACTGGAAGGGAGACTTGCCTTATTTTAATTTTTTTAGTGTATTGTAAAACTGTATTGCACAGTTTCCAGAAAATATCCAATCCATACTCCCCCCTCGGAAGGGGTTGGAATTTCCTCGAGGGTGGGTGGTTCTGTAAGCCCCCAAAAATGAAGAAATGTAGGAAGCTCTATTGGAAATTTCCAGAGGGGTTGTTGGGGGGGGGGGGGGGGG